CCCTGCCCTGCCCGTCGTCGTGCCTGCCCTGCCCTGCCCGTCGTCGTGCCTGCCCTGCCCTGCCCGTCGTCGTGCCTGCCCTGCCCTGCCCGTCGCGCCTGCCCTGCCTGCCCTTGCTGCCTGTCGTGCCAGTGCCAGTCCCAGGCCGCACCCACACCAGACCGGCCACTGTCAATCGGCCCCGGGTCAGCTTCGGGGCCTCGTTGCTAATTTTTCCTGCACCACGCTCGAGGGCTGATGCTCATCATCATCATCATCATCATCACCATCGCCGTGGTCCTGTCTGCGGCCGTGATGCCGCTGCCTGCGCGCCATGCTGGCTGGCCTGTCTGGCTGGCTGGCTGCTTGCATCCTGCCTCCTGTCTCCTGTCCAGGGCCTGTCTGCCCGTGGGCCACACCATGGTCTGCACAGCTCCCACTTCCAGCGCCAGCTCCAGCTCCTCCAGCCCCAAACCCGCACAGCACAGCCTTCTGCTGATGCCAATGGCAGCCATTGCTACAACTCTGCGCGCGCACGCCGGGCCCGTCCAATATCTCGAGGTCAAAAATAGCCCTCGGTGCGTCACCTGCCGTCACGCGAGTGCTGATGACGGCAACGGCACACTGCACTCTGCACCATCCATCTGCCCAAACGCACAAAGGGTCTGTCGGCCATTCAGCCTGTCCATGTCCACGGCCGCCGCGCTGGCCTCACTTTTTTTATCGATACTACGCTGCGCGCGCGCTCGTCGCACGCTCGCCGCTATACTTATTCGCGTCGCGCGGCGCCGAGTCGTGACCAGACCATCCAAGTAGCGGCTCTATTCTGGTGGCTCGGCCAGGCACAAGCCTCTCGTCGCCGCCACAGCCAGCCCAGATGAGTCAGCGAGCCTCTTTGCCCTGCCACGCTGCCACTTAGGCGAGCCCGCCCGCCGTGGCGCCTGACCACATGTGTACTCTCCATCCCACTGTCCCATGTCGTCCCAACGGCCGCCGCCAATCCCTTCCCCCTCCTCGCCGAACATGCTGACGAGCCTGCGCCCGTTGCACCCTCTGCCTGCACTGACCGCTGTTCATCCACGCCTCTGACTCTCTCTTTCCCCTTCCCCTCCCCTCGCGCCCTCCTGTCCTCTTGGTGAAATGAGAACGGCCATCGCGAGATACGAGCTGCAGTCCATCTCACTAGCACCGTAGCGCCCGTCGACTACTACCCTCTTGCCCGCCCACTACTACCTGGCCCGTTTCGCGCTCGGGCAGAGCCTCCATGAAGCCACTCCCAGCCCATCACTCGGTAGTAGAGTAGTACGTACCTACACGGCCTCCGGCTACTTTGCCAAAAGCCACAATTGCACTAGCATCCCAATCCGGTTAGCAACCGGCCATAAAGGCTATTCTTAGCTTCAACCTCTCTTTACCCTAACAACTTTGCAGCCAGCAGAAATGCACCTCGGCTCATCCATGCCATCTCTGGAGTTTCTGCACCTAGCCTATTTCCGCCTGAACTATTTTCTTCCTCTTCATTGTCTGCTCGACATTGCGGCCCCCTAGCCCTCCCGGTGACCGCAACAAGTAATTGACAAATTCTATACATGAACATGGTACACAATGATGTCTCCAATACCCTTGGCCTCGTCCAATCACAACGCCCCGTAACACCCAATCGAGACACTGCTAGCCACACTCGTCCCAAGCCCGCCTTTGACCCTGCCAATCCAAACCCGCATTTGTCTCCATTTTTCCAGCTGTCTGCAAGCCACAAGCTACTTGCACCACCCTGCAAACAACCCCTCTCCACCCGCCGGCACATGGCTATTAAAAGCCTTTTTTCCTGTCATGTCATTGGTGCGGGACCAATTGCTACCCACGGGTGTGGTTGGCGACACAAGAACCACATGTCCTCTTTGCCGTCACTAGCCAATGGCGTCCAGACGCCTGCTCCGAGTACTCGGCTCTCTGCCCGGATATACACGCCTGCTTGCATTTGCTGCATCCACTTACATCATACCAGCTATAGTCTCGTTGAGACCTTCCATCTGCTGATATTGCCAATATATCGTTACACAGCAATCCAGCTCCCATGCGGCATGCCCGAGAGGAAAGATTATTACTCCCAGCCCGCCTCCCTCCCAAAGCAGGAGACACATGGAAAAACAGAGATGATGCAAAAAAAGATACTCCCACTTGCATGTTTCGTGCATAACATCTGTACTGTACTCTAGTCCTTGGTTCCGCGGCCCAAGAAGTTCCCAAGTAAAGCGCCTCGTACCATGAAACGTTCGGACCGGTCATCGAGTCGTTTCTAGAAATTGTCGTCGACGGACTCCTCTCAATGCTCCTAGTGCCAAAGTCCCTTCCCCCCTCCCCACAAGATCGACCACTAGTCTAGGCCCTGAGTCGCGTTCAGACTAGTCTTGCGATAAAAAGATTTTCCCATTTGATGCCAACATGCTAATCGCCTGCGTTCCCGATAGCGCACTAATACGTGTCTTTGCTCCGAAACCTTCAATTGTTTCCGACCCGTCGGTGGTTTTTTAGCCTGTGAAAAAAGAGGGGTAGTCTCCAACTTTCTCTCTCGACTAGTATCAACCTATAGTACCCACCAGGTTTAGCCCTTTCCCGATTACTTATTGTGTACTCGGATGCAGCACAAAGCGGCGTACTCCAGTACTATCAATTCCTAATCCCTGTGGAAAAGGGGGGTTTTGTCGGATGATTTGACCTCTTCAGTATCTAACTTTACACTAGGCGTTTCTGGTCCTAGGTGCAAATGCAATCTCGTTTAGTAGGTGTGTGTCCATCTATCTGCCTGTGCAGTAAGTGTAGAGTGAATTTTCAGACCAAATGATGGCGAGCTTAGCTGAAATTATCATCTCCAACTCTCTACATCACATGTACATTCATTTCCACGTCGTAGAAGTGAAGAAATGGGAGATGAAAAACGGGGGGAAAAGCAACTAAGAACAAGAAAAACAGGGAGGATAACAAGAACACTTTGCCGATAGTCCGAGACCGATTTCCGACTACAATAGAGAATATAAATAGCATGATTGCATAATAGCCTATAGCAATCCTTCTGCCTCTACTCCGAGCAATTGGGCTGAAAAAAAAATTAGCAATAAAGAGGGAGAGGCTAGCCGTGACTCGTTGCCTAACCATGACAGCTGCGAATTCTAGAGAATACGAGCCACTCAGCCAACTGCTGCAAGATACGTAGCCACCGTACCAACACCAGTAAGGGAGTGCGTGCATAAAAATGATGTCATACTGCCTCTACTAAGGCGCTGTTCTACATAGTAGCGGGCCCTCACCCCTTCCCTTCTCTGTGATCTTTACGTGTACACTACTAGTACTGAACTACTGTGTGATAGCGCACACCCACACACACTCAAACCCACTCACATGTCTATAGTACACATGTACACAGACAACATGCATATGAACGTCGACTTGGTACAGGCCTGTAGTTGATGCCATTATAGCAAGGTACCCTGGACTAAATCACTAGGTCCCGGCCACGAACCTAACTTGCCCGTATAAATCACTGGAAAGGGGCTAGCGGGAGAACTGGGCGGGATGGGCTTGGGGGTGTCAAGAGGGAACTATATGCGCTAGTCTGATGATCTGGATTGTCGACTAGATGAGCACATTATCTTCAAATTATCCGGATGAATAAATAGCGTGAAACCTGTTAATTAGAGCTCCATGTTCCTATTCTTTTTAGTGATCAGCTTCTGAGGAGGGACGGGACAAAAGCGAGGAAAAAAAAAGAGTAAATTTTTCCGTATTGTGTTCACCGAGTCAGTCCTGTGTGTTGGGTGTTGCAGACAATCATGGCTTCAGATTAACATTTCGTATGCTGGAGACCTGGTGGGTTAGAGACACCGAAACTAGGAACTATGAATCCGACAACCAAGATCATGGGACCATGTTACGAGGATTCACTCAAGACGGGGGGGAAGGAGGGGAAGGGGAGAGGAGAAGAAGGGAGACAGGAAACAACAGTCGAGACAACCGACCGGCCCATCTAGCTCAGAACTATAAATTGACAAATACACTTGAATCATAGAACCCCAGAAGATGAACTAGACAAAACACCACTAACAACACTCTAGGACATGTATATCCGGCCAAATTTGTAAAACGAGAAGTAATGCTAAAACTTTTATCTTTCATTCACACTGTCTATCACACACACTCTGTCTCATCACACTAAACATAGACTTCCCGTACAGTCTCCTTCACACATACACACACACCCCTTTCTCACAGCCCCCCTTGTACAGACCTTCTCTCTCACTCACACAATCTCTCCACCCTCCCTTCCCCCCTACGCATCTATACATAGATTCCTCTCACACGCCCTCACTTAGACTATCACTTTAGAAAAAAAACTAAGCTAAGCTATCTACTTGTACTATGTATGAAACTACCCCCATACCCAGCATACTACACTCACATAAATGAGAAAGAAAAAGAACGCCCGGGAAAATGTTGCTTCATAGCACTTTGTCGAGCTCAGTGGGAGAAAAAAAATCAAACCAAGCAGCAGCAAAGGACAGAAAAAAAAGAAATCGCTCGCTGGAATATAAGAAAAAAAAAACGAAACAAATGTCTATATATGATGCCGTGAGAACCGTTACCCTCCGCTCCCATAATCCTTCTGCCGTGAAATGCTTTCATTGACTTCGTTTCGTTCTTCTCCTTCAGTCGGGAGTGATATCCCCCACCCTCACCCCATGGACCTTTCACTCTGACCCTCGCTTTTCTTCTGCTTTTTTCTTCCCCCCTGATATTTCTTCTTCTCACTATAACACCATACTGCACACATGCCCGTATTCAACGCCCGCTATACCACATGAAATAATTTTTT